AGTGCTTAATGCGAACATATAGGGTTTTTGATCATAAATTTCCTTAATGTTCACATGACTAGTTGTCATGTGAAAAGGGGGAATTGAAGAAATTTATTGGGGTTGCTTACTACTGACTTATAAAGACACTACACATTGTAGAGACTTTTATTAGGTGAACAGTAATGTGGTCATCTCTGACTTAATTGATTTTATGTGCAGACTGGGTTGTGTGGGGCTCTTGATCAGGGTCTCACAGACTCAGGAGGCTTTTAGTCAGATACATGTCTGATTTAAAAACAACACATAAGAACCATGATTAAACATTAGTGTGAGGGATGATGGTTGACATCTTGACTCCATATAGGAGTAGCCTGCCCATTTAACATATGTCATGAGGTGGAGTCAGGATGGGAAGAAAGCTGTTACTTGATGGGTGTTCCCTGGTTTTTACTCACTGCTTACCTGATGCCTGTCGGAGACAGATTAAAACAAAAGCTAATCAGTCCACACAGCTGTGTCTGAATGGTTTTGTATGGCTCACTCCAACATTCACGTCATTATTAACTGGTATTAGATCTTAACAGGTAAAGGGTAACGAACATTGCTTATTTTTTAACAGGTCCACTGTGTTTTATCAAGGCCAGGGTCAATGCAGCTTGCTATCAGGAGATTTTGGAGCACTTCATGCTTCCATCTGCTGAAAAGCTTTATGGAYATGAAGATTTCATTTTTCAGCACGACCTGGCACCTGCTCACAGTGCCAAAACCACTGGTTGTACCATTGTTTACTGACCATGGTCTTATTCTGCTCAATTGGCCTGCCAACTCTCCTGACCTGAACCCCAGAGAGAATCTGTGGGATATTATGAAGAGAAAGTTGAGAGACACAAGACCCAACACTCTGGATGAGCTTAATGCTGCTATCGAAGCATCCTGGGCCTCCATAACACCTCAGCAGTGCCACAGGCTGATTGCCTCCATGCCACGCWGCATTGAAGCAGACATTTCTGCAAAATGATTCCCCACCAAGTATTGAGTGCATAACTGAACATAATTATTTGAAGGTTGACTTTTTTGTATTAAAAACACTTTTCTTTTGTTGGTCAGATGAAATCATCATCTCTTCWGCCATCATCTGTTGGGGCAGCAGCATCAGAGCCAGGGACCTAAAAAGGCTAAACAACCTGATAAAGAAGCTGGTTCTGTTCTGGGGACAACTGTGGAATCTCAGGAGATGATGGTCCAAAGAAGGATTTTACATCAAATCAAGAACTTTGTCGACAACCCTGACCATCCTCTTCATTAGACTGTCATAGAAAATTTTGTGTCCCTGTGATGGACTTGAGACCTGTCCAGGGAGTACCCCACCCCTCGCACTGTGACTGCTGGATATGGGCAGCAGTGACCCTGAAATGAAGAAGCAGGTATAGATAACGGGWGGATTATTTGACACAGATTGCTCATAGGTGGTTCTAAGTAATGATTTGGCTTTTTGAGGTAATAATTGAATATATTCACCTGCAAAACATCAAACTTATATTACTGACAACTTTCCCCACTAACTTTATCTAAAATATTTAGTGTAAGCCAATTCCAAACTATAAGAACAAAAATAAAAAATAAAAAAAAAAACAAGGGAGGATGAAATCATTGTCAAACCACTGAAAGAGTCATGCATGGAACAAAATCATGATAAAACTGACTATATCTCTTTTAGAACAGTTTACAAAATCTAAAGTAATCAGCAGACCTCTTACTGGAGGTTTAAACCTGTATGAGCTGACTTCCCAAGAGGAAACTGATGAAGTCGTCTGATTGGTTTTGGTTTCTCAGCAGGTCAATAAAGCCTGAAACAGCACAAAGCAGTGGAACAAAACAAACTGCCACAGGAGTCAACTCTGACCACTTCCCGTTTGAAGCATTTGTCCTTCCTCCTCCTAATTAACTAAATTTATTCATGTAACGAGAGCCAGCCTCAACTCCCTGCAGGAAACATGACTCCTCTTCTGTTTATAAGACAACTAACTAAACATGATTTGCTTTTTGGTTTAATATTGTGACATTTGGCTGTTTTTAGGCCAACACCTTAGTTCATTCTATCATGAACAACACAACACGTGATGGTGTTGTTTAATTTAGCAATAATAAAATCTAAAAGCAGAAGCTGTGTGAGAAAGTCTTTTCTAGCTATCCTATACATTTACAGATATAGGCTTTCATAAAAGATCACTGAAATAATGTGAAACTGATACAACAATAACTAAAAAATCAGCWGATGAAACTAATTATTGCTGAAATGACCACTGGAGACAACCTGAGTGGACGTGTCCAGAGTTGTAAAGTACAATTACTTTGTTACTGTAGAATTTTTGGGTATCAGTACTTTACTTGAGAGTAATTATTTTTCAGACTACTTTTTACTTTCTACTCCTTACATTTAAAAAAATGACAAGAAGTAGAAAGTTGTTACTTTTATTTCATTTTTGCTTGTTTTCATTCCAGCTTATTGTAAAAAATAAATACTATCCATATAAATTGTGCCTGAGTGAATTTAATTGTGCTTAAATGAGAAATATAAATATATAAAATTCTGATATCATATTAGTTTGACAAATCATGTCACACTCCAGCAGGACATAACCATTAAAATAAAAGGACTGTACTTAAGAAGTATTTGTATTTCATAAATTAGATTATTGCATTTGGCCGCAGCCCTCAGGTAGGTTTTCATTTTGGGGAAAAGGTTTGTGCAGCCTTGATATACAGCGGGTAAAATAAGTATTGAACACGTCACCATTTTTCTCAGTAAATATATTACTAGAGGTGCTAATGACATGAAATCTTCACCAGATGTCGGTAACAACAGAGCACTTCATGGTCAGGCCCCCAAATACATCCTGGACCTTCTGAAGCCTCTCTGTCCATCCAG